CCCTCCCACATCACTGAACAATCAAGAAGATGCCCCACAGACCTGGCCACAGGCCAATCCAATAGAGGCAATTCCCCAACTGAGGCTCCCTCAATACAGGTGTATCAAGTTGACACTAAAGCTATCCAGAACAGGAGATGAGGGTGGGACCAGGCCTAGAGGGTTCCTGGGGGCCGGCAGGGAGGAACTGGGTTGTTCAGGATGCAAAGGATCAGGAAGCAGGGGTGGCTCTGGGCAGAGAGGTTAGCCCTGGTGTCTGGGGTGCCAAGACAAGAAATGGGCCTGTACCCAGGCTAGGAGGAGAGACTTGGAGGAGGAGCTGGGAGGGTGAAAGAGGCTGGGGGAGTCAAGGTGCAGTGGGCACATTGGACTTACCCATGGAAGGTGCCGGGACCAGGACACTGGAGGCTGTGCAGCCCAGGAAGCAAAGCTCTATTTTCTTTCGTTTCCCCCAATCCTGTTTATTTTTCTGTTCCCTGCTTTTCTTAATAACTTGCATCATTGGTTAGATGTTGATCAATTCAAAGCTTCTTGGACTCCTTAAGTCTGAAAGCCTATAAATAATGTACATGGTTTGCACAGTAGGAGTGTAAGTTGCACTAGCCAGGCAGTGAACCTGCAGCTCTGACAGCTGTGTGTTCTGCAGGATTCAGCTGAAGTGTTTTCCAAATCCTTGACCCTTGTCCTTAGGACATTTAACACTGGATAGCTTAGCTAGGCTTACAGCTACATCCAGATGCCTTAGGGTAGAAGACAAAGGAACCCAACCAACGCAAACCTAACCTTTCTGACAGGATGACTGGATCATTCTAGAATCATTCTCATAGGTATGAAGGAAGATGAGTTTCCTGCTGGTTGTTGGTTTATTGAATTTTTGTGATTTTCATACAATATAATTTGATGGTATTTAGATCCCTCCCATCTGTACCTCCCTCCACAGCCCCTCCAACCCAATGTACTCCTATATACATATAGTATGGCCTGTAGAGTCTGATTTGTGTCCCCAGATGTCTTTCAGTGTGGGCTCATCCACTGGGGCCACCAGAAGTCCCATCCCTCAAGGATACTATCTCTCCCCTCCTAGCAGCCATCAATTTTGCCATTGGTTGTTTCTAATGAGGAGGAATTGCTGATACCTCACCTGTAGCTAAGCTGAGAGGTATGCCCAAGCATAGAGAAAGCTGGACACTACAGGTGCTTCATAGCGTATGAGAGACAGTCCAAAAAGCTGAGGGAGTTGCCTAGAGAAAGACAATCTGTTAGGCCAGAGAGACTACATATCCTTCACATTGATGTGAGAAGGCCCGCATCGTCATTTGGATGCCTGACCTTTCTAGTCCCCAAAGCTAACGAATAAAATCATCTGGATCTGGGGTACCCAATAAGATTCATTCTTAGTGCTAGGTGGAGAAGCATTGGGAGGAGGTATCCAGGCTGTATTAGTTACTTTTCTCATTGTTATGACAAAATATGTGGCAGGAAGTCATTTAAGAAAGGGTTTATTTGGCTTACAGTTAAGGGGATATAGCCCATCATGTTGAGGAAGGTGTGATGGTGGAAGCAAGATACTGCTGGTCACATTACAGTTAGGAAACAGACTGAACAGGAAGTCAAGCTAGCCTATAAAACCTCAAGGCTTCCCCTTAGTGACTCACTTCCTTCAGCAAGACTCTACCTCCTAAAGGTTCCAACCTTTTGGAACAGCCTCACCAGCTGAAGACCACATGTTCAAATACAGGAGTCTTATGAGGGACATTCACATTCAAAACCACAATACAGACTAAGCAGGAGACTGTACTGTGATCCATTAGTGATGTCTGCCATGAGTACTGTCTAAGGAAGGAATAGTATTTGCCAACCCTGAATTTTGCCAGCAAAGCATAATGGTTCTGGCCTGTATCTGTTGTAAACAAAAAAATTATTTCCTCATCTTTACTTCTGAATATTACCCTGAGGTCACCCAGGTTGGGTCAGTTAGCTAGCTGTCTCTTGCCAATCCAGACACCAGCACTAAGACTTGATGCCACGGAGAGAGAGGGGTCTCAAGAATTGTACAGTGACTCACTCGGCTCCAGCCTGTGCAGTTAGCTGAATTTGAAATGTAAGGAAAGGGGATGTAGCAGCTTCCTTCTCACACATTTGACACCTGCTGGCCATCCTTCAGTGATTTCCAAATGGACTAGGGGAGACTCCCTGCTATGTGCTAGGTGCATTTCTGAGTGCTGCCTTCACAAAGCGGATGATCTGAGACAGAAGATCTCCAGGAGGATTCCCTGGAGCATTCCCCAGGAGGAATGCCTGTCACACTAGAGAAACTGAATACAGATACCTTGTAGGGACCCTCAGCAGGTGTCAGGCTGGAAAAGGTCCCTGAAGGAAAGGAAATTTGAGCTGAGATCTGAAATGCTTCCTATATCCAGCCCTGGTTCTTGGTCAGCTCTAGTCACCTGTGCATTCCCAGTTCTTGTGACCCAAGAAGTGGGACAATCTACCTCTGGATTTCCTCTAAAGGGCAGGTAAAACCTACCAGCCCTGTGTGTAGAGAAGACCCACCATTAACAGCTTTTTGCCACTTTGGTTTTTTTGCTAGGTTTTGATGGGCAAATTAAAGCCCCAAACTCAAACTCAGGACATCAGTCCAATTTACAGTCAAGCAAGGGATGAGCCCTTGCTTGAGTCCTCCCAGCCCTCACCTGGACCACTGAGGTAGCCTCAGAGTTCATTTCTGGCAGTGGGTCTACCCTAGAGTGGACTCCTTCTCTGAGGACACCCAGCAGGGGTCACAACCCAGGGTCAGCCATGTTCTCAGAAACCTTCTTCCTCAGAAGAGACTGCTAGAGCATCCAGCAACCTACCATGTACTCCCCATCCCAGATGTCTGACTCATCCAACCCATTGCTGGGGTCTGAATGTTTATGTCCCCTGACCTAATTTACAGATTGAATTCTGTTATGCCAAGTGATGATATTAGGAGGTGGGTCTTGGGGAGGTGGTCAGGTTGTAAGGGTGGAAATCTCGTGACTAGAATTAATGGCGGTTTTAGTTTGCTTTATGTTGCAGTAATAAACACCTTGACCAAAAGCAACTTTGGGGTGGGGGAGAAAGGATTTATTTGGCTTACACTTCATAGCCCATCATCTAAAGAGGTCAAGGTCAAAATTCAAGATAAGAGCTTGAAGCAGAAACCACGGAGGAATATTGCTTACTGGCTTGCTTCCTCTGACTTTCTTAGCTACTTTTCTACACAGCTCAGGTCCACCTGCCCAGGGATAGGGTCACCCACAGTGACTGAACCCTCCTACATCAATTAGCAATCAAGGAAATGTCCCACAGACATCCTGTAGGCCTGACCTGATGGAGAGAATTCCTCAGTTGAGAGTTCCTCTTCCCAGATGACTCTAGTTTGTGTCAAGTTGACAAAACTAACCAGTATTGTGCCCTTATGAAAGTTCCCAGAGAGCCACCCGGCTGCTTCTATCCTATGAGTGATAGGGAAAAGACAGCTGTCAGCGAACCAAGGAGTAACCTCTCAGCAGACACTGGAGTCCCCAGCCTTCATGAGAAGTCTGTCCCTGTGAGAATAAGTTTCTGTTCTTTATAAGCTCCCTGATCAATGGCATTTTATTATAGCAGCTCAAATATACTAAGACAGCCATTCTGCTCCATTGTCACCCACAGTCCCAGATGAGTATATCTGTCAAGAATGAGAACAGAGGTCAGATATAGTGGCACATGCCTAAAATCCCAGAAGTCAGGAGGCAGAGACGGGAGGACCATCACAAGTTCAAGGCCAGCCTGATCTACATAGTGAGTTCTAGGTCTGCTAGAGAGTGTGATCCGTCTTTATTTTTCACAAATGTGACCAAGAAAACAGGTAGCTGCACTAGGGAACTGCACTTTCTATCAACTGGCATTTGGTGGCTTATGGATGAGTAACTGGATGGGGACACTGTCCCTTCCATACTCTGCCTCTACCCCTGTGCCTCTGCTCTTATATTTCTGTCTACCTGGCCTGCCCATCCCACCTCTTCATCCTAGAAGTGGACTCCCTACATCTGCTCCCTGCCTGCCCTACAGCACTGTGCCCCTGTGTCCTCAGTACTCATTCTCCCAAGCATCCCAGTGAGCATCCAGGAATATAGAGGTCTTCATGGACTAAACTGGAATAGCATCCCACATGTGGTACTATTTCTGTGGGCAAGTCAATCCTAAATTCCAAATCCTTCATTTGTTTTTTTTCTTAAAAGTGAGTTCAAGGCCAGCCTGGTCTACATAGTGAGTTCCAGGACAGCTGGGGCTACAGGAAGACCCTGTCTCAAAAAGACAAAAAAAAAAAAGTTTCTATTTAAGTATAGTGTGTCTTCCACTTTTAATGAAAAGAGAATTTTTTTTTAAGAAAATGAGATTGTATTCCAGATCCAAACCACTGTAGTGCAAAAATTAATTCCCAGGGCTTAGAGCCAGATATGCCTGTGCAGAGCATATCCTGGGGGCTTGCTAGCTGTGTCGCCTTAGATGGTGCCATGCTTTGCTGTAGTGTCCTCATCTGTAAAACAAGATAATGATAAGAATTAAGCATTAACTGAGATACAGATATGGAGTGGAAATCCTTAGCATGGGGTTCAATGGATGTTAGCTATTATTATTCGTAAGAAGCCCCTGAGCTCCCTTGGAACAGCTCTGTTTACTCCATTGTACTTAAAAAAAGAATCCAGGATGTTGAACTGTAGGTTCAGCTGTATTCCTAATGTTTTCAGCAAGGTTGAAACACACCTATTTAATTCCTCCAACCAGCATATTCAAGTGAATCTAAAATACATGCTTTTTAAACAAACTGACTCCAGGTTTGGGGTTTTGTATCTGTATAATGGTACATGACTTCCATTTTCCTCTAAACCTCCTTCCTTGTCCTCAGTCCCCTCCTGCTTCCAGTTTGAGTGCATCCTATGCCTTGAACATCCTACTAACCTGAGGCTCTTCTCTCCTAAACTCCTATGCAGGTCCCCCTTCCTGGGTACATCGAGGCCTACCCCAGGTCACGGTATCAGCAGAGCTCACCCTCCAGGCTCCCTCGCCAATACAGCCAGCCAACCAACCTGCACCCCAGCCTTGAGCAGGCCCCTGTCCCCTCCACAGCTGCCTCACAGCAGAGCCTGGCAGAAAATGAGCCTCCTGACACTCCACTGACCAACATCTCTACCGCAGCCCTCGTGAAGGCTATCCGGGAGGAGGTAGCCAAGCTGGCTAAGAAGCAGACAGACATGTTTGAGTTCCAGGTCTAACACCTCAGCCCTGAGGGACTCTTGTACTTATAGACCATAAGGTAACAAGGAGGCTTTGGGTTTCTCTCTCCTAATGTGAGGGGGACTCCAAACATAGACAATTGGTGGGTCATTCTCACCACTCACAAGTTGTGAAAGGTGAACAGTGGGGCTGCTGGGAAACAGGAAACTCATGAATGACTGAATTTTGACTTCTGCAGCAGACTGTGGGTCAACAAGTCCCTGATTGGGCTCCTGTGTTTGATATTCTGTTGGGTTGAATGTTTGAACTGTGGGTGGAATTTCTAAGGAGCCCTGGGTTGTAAGAGGCACTAGCTAACCTACAGGTTCCTGACCAGTGTCCCATTTTAATAAATCCCTAGAAGGGAGAGAATGTTGCTCAGTTTTCAGTGACCTCTGCATGTTAACTCCTTCTGTGTTAAACAGGAGTAGGAATTAAGCACCAGACTGTACTCTCTCATTGGGCCATGACCATGATTGCTAAGAATCATCTCTAGTCTGTACGGGAGACATTGACTCCAGCCAAGAAACTCAAGTCCCTTTGCTTTTAAAGGCTCGTATTCAAAGTCAAATGATGAAAATCAGTTCCAATGGCTGTGCCTATAAATAGTACTGTCTTTTCCCACCTGTTAATTAAAGGCCAAGAAAGAGAAGATGAGCCTGAATGGTGGATTTGTGTTGACAGGCTTTTAAAAAAGTGTTGTCATTTTAAAAATAGAGTGTCCTACAAGTTGGAATCTATCTGAGAGAGAATCAGTGCTAAGAGCTTTAGAATCCTACAAAAGAAAAGCAAATATTTGTGCAGTTTCTCCTTGCCTGTATTGAAGATGGCTTGAGAACAAAGCTGCTCTCTTTCGGGGAATAATAGATCAACTTTTACAAGAAGACCTGTCTCTTCACCAGTGATGTCCAGCACACACTGCTGAGTGATATGAAAGAAAACCATTGTTGATCCCCATTGGAGATGGGAGAGATGGATCCACAGTCATCCCAGGCTACAGCCTCTGTTTCTGGAAGCTTCTGGATATAGAAAATTTGATCTGAGTTTAAACATAAATAATCTTTTTTAAAAGTATATGGATATCATCAGTTATCTGTAGTTGACGGGCATAGGAGGACATTTGCTGAGATGTCAGGGTTGTTACCTTGAACTTTGATGCCCTGTGTCCCTGTCCCTGGCATGGAGCATCAGCCCACAGAGTATGGTAGAGACACTGCCTTGCAACACTGGAGTGCCAGCCACTGACTACCTTTCAGCACAAGCAAAATTGATTTGGGTACCATAAAGAAAGGGAGCCCTAAGTTCTCTCCTCAGCTTTGGGAGCGATGTATGTTGTCAGAATGCTTGCTTGGTGTCTGTTGGAGAACATGGTCCTGTCCTGCCTTCACCTGTGACCCATCTAGCTTCAGCTCTTCCCATACCCTTGTGAACCCATCTGTCCATTGCCTTGATGAGTTTCTTTGGTCTTTATTGAAAGAAGAGAATAGAAACTTATGCGTTGAGAGGATTAGGATTAAACTGATTAGAATGGGAGATTCAAACTGTCAAAGCACAGACTTTCCCAAGAAGCTGTTTCTATTTCCCAATGACAAATTGTCCTTTCTGAAATGTTCAGAGATAATATGTCATGGAATCCCCAACAGGTCTCTTGTTGGGATGATACTAGTAGTGTCCTTTTAGTATGCTGGTTGATCTTTCATAGTGTTAGTTTTTTGTTACTTAAAAAGAAATCAGCTATAAATAAAATGTATTTTTGTAATTTCCATGTGTATATATGGTATATTTCTACCAATGGCCAGTTGTTGTAGTCCAAAACTTAAATCAGCTTGTAGAACACTGTGGACAGTGCAAGATTTTATCAACAGATTAACACGATGCCTAAGTCTATCCAAACAGGCATTTGATGCACTTGAATGAACAAAGAGCCAAAGAAACTCAGCCTTTTCATGCAAATGGTAGAAGTCTGATAAAGTCAGCTACATTATCCCACCTTATCAATAATACCAATATTCCATCAGTGCAGTGATACAGCCACACAGTACTTTGTCTACTTGGTAAATGCCTGGATATGCTGAAAGTGAAAAGGGAAGTTTTAAGACCATAGAGTGGAGATGTATCTATGCTTTAAAGACAGCCTCTGAGCTTTGGCTATCCCAGTAACTTCCAGATGATGAATCTGTAGTTGGCAGTGGTATGGCTCCAGATTGCTAGGGGGCTGGAGCTACAACTCACTGGAGTCCTCGTAGAACCCCCATGAAAGGTTTCATTCATTGAGACAACTGAAGTACAGCATGCTAAATCAGACTCTTAGACTCGACACCATAGATTCAAAAGGTCTATGCAAAGAAAACGATACATTTAAAAGAAATGAATGTTTGTGTTTTTCCACCAATGGGAAGACACCTTCCATTATTACATTTTTCTGTGACTAAGATGTGGTCCCTTCTCTAAAGAGTCTCCTGACCTGGACAAGAGACTGAGAAATCCAGGTGGTTAAATCACATCATGGCTGTGAAAATGGGATTCCGTGAGAGCCCAGAAGAAGCGGCAATGAACTTGGTTTTGCCGTGATCCTCCAGTCAGTCACGGAAGCCATAAAGAATCTCAGTGACCTTGAAGGAAGAAGCAGAAGCCCAGATGAATGGGGAGCTAATGCCGAGCCTGCTGACTCATGCCCCAGCCTGCTCCATTTCACCATGCTGCCTGGATGCTTGTTGGTGACACATTTCTTCAACTGTGCCCAGAAGTTTAAAAAGTCAAATGTCAAATGAAAGATTCCATAATGTTCCTGCCAAAAAAAAAAAAAAAAAAAAAAAACAGGCTGAGTACGTACTGACCTTCACACACAGTTCAGAGAACCATACCTTTATGGCATAATAATTTTTTTGGCCCTGGTTTTGATACAACTTTTCTTCATGAATGAAAAAGAAATCAATTTGGCTTTTTCCAGAGAGTACCACTGAGGAAATGGTGTCTTCTGTTACCATTCAAACCTGCAGGGGTGACTTCCTTGTTCAGTGCCGTGGGTCAAACAGGCAGGTAGGGATGCCCTCACAGCTTGTCATTGGGAGGTAAGAGGTGTCATGCTCTGTATCAGGAAACCTAGCGGGGCCACAACATTAAGGTCTATTGTGTGGCCAGGTACCATGACCTGGGTACCGGAACAAGATGGCAGCTGTTAAGTATGAAGCAAAAAGCGGCCTCTTAGTGCCAGGAGAAGTGATACTGTTCCTTTGTTATTTTGAGCCCAGCAAAAAAGGTGTGCAATTTCTGGATATTCTTGATTTAAGAAAGGAAATGGTTAGATCTGTAATTAAAAGAAAAGAAAACCTTGTCTGAGAATGTGTGGAGTGGAAGAGATGCAGAATTCTAATACCTAACTAAAAGAAATGCTTTCCTATGAGGCAGAAATTGGAGAAACAGATAAAAAATTTTAATATTGATTACATAAAAATAACCCTCACTGTTTTTCTATATAGCACACAAGTGCTCAAAGTTCAGTAAATAACTAACAAATTGTTTTAACTTGAGGAAAAGATATGAACCTAATCCTGAAATCATAGTTTGGGCTTCCCTTACAAATTATAGCCCGAGACTCTTAAGGAATAATTATCATCTAGCTTGGAATAATCACTGACTGGGGTCCAAAGTATCAGAAGTAAACTTCTGCCATTTAGGCTGGGCATGGTAATGCACCCCTTTCGGGAGGCAGAGGCAGGCAGATCACTGTGAATTTGAGGCCATCCTGATCTTCATAATGAGTTCTTACCAATTGGAACTACACAGTGAGACCCTGTCCAAAAAGAAAAGAAAAGAAAAATCTGCCATTTAGACCAACCTCAGAATGTTCTAACCTCAGAACTTCTCAAGGACTAGAAATCCACTCACCCTTGCTTCAGTACAGGGACCAACTGAAAGACATAGGGACAAGTGATAGAAACAAAGCTCCCTGCAGCAGGCAAGGGACAAGGCATCCAGGCATCCCTCCTCACGCCTGCGCTCTGGCTCTTCCTTGGGCACTCTCCTCACCAGCTTCCCTCTCTGTCTCTCTCAGCACATCTGCTCTTTCCTCTTGCTTTACCCAACCAGCTTACTCATTCGTGCATATGGAGCTAAATACCCACCTCAGGACTCACACCATACCTTTTCTTCCTAGTGCCCACTACTCTCTGACTGATGTCTCTGTGCCCTTCTAGGCAAATGCTTGAGAATCTCTGACTAGTTCAGTTCATACCTGCCAGTGGATGAGCTGCCCTGGGGATAGCTGGCCGTCCATTAGGCTGTAAGCAAGGAGGCAGGGTTGTGTCCTAAGGGCACGATCCCTGGATTGACCCATTCAGCAAGGGCTCTTGTTAAGGACTGGTACCCAGAGGAAAGAGCATGTTTGTGCAGGACTTCCAAAGGCGATCTGCGGAGACTGGAACTGACCATACTCCTAAAATGCCACGTGGCAGCCAGCAGTCGAAGGGCAGTCTGTCTGGATACTGCCCCTGCAAGGAAAAGGCATCCCTCACTTGTACATCAGGTGAGAATGCATGTGTTTGAACCCCTGACAGACTGGCCAGACTCCCCCAGCCACTTCCCACCCCCACATTAAGTTACTGAATACTGCTGCTGGGCCCGAGAAGAGATCTCTAACCAAGGCCCAGTTAGCACAATGTCTTGCTCAGCAGACAATAAATACTTGTAAATTGAATTGCATGATCTTAGCTCAGGTGCTATTAATGTGGCTCACAGCCACACACTTGCATGGATGAGAAAACTGATGAGCCTTGCAATAGAGTCTTTTGAAACAAAATTGGTTTCAAGTGAAACTGATATTATCATGGCTCTGACCTTCCGGCTATAAGTTAGTATCCTGAGAACTGAAAGGTTTTTGATTGCTTAAGTGAACTGTTACAGAACCCTAGGTGGTGGTCAATACTGAAATGTAGGGTGTTTCTGTAAAGGAATATTTAGGAAATATAATTGTACCAGAAACAAATTCCCTTAAAAGATATTGAGCTGCTTTGATGTTGTTTCAAAAATAAGGAAATTTTGAGAAGGTGGAATTTGTACCCTGAGGTCAAACCCCTACTTGAGTGAAAGCCATTCTGTAAGGAAATCTAGAAATTGATTATTCCCATTTTATGGCCTCAATCAGACTCTGTAAATTTTGGAAAGAGGCCATCAATGTATTTTACATAATTAACTATGGCCTCACCTCCCACTCCTTCATCTTCTTAAGTCTAAACTCATCTCTGCCATCACAAACAAGTGAAGGAAAGAAAAAAATGTACCGAACAAAACCAGAGGAGAATCATCGGACTGGAAATTCTGAAAAGGTGTAAATATTCTAGGTATTGAGTGTCTCACTTTAAACTAGTCTGTAATTCCCCATCTGTCAAATGGGTATAATAACATCTGTACTTCCTACCTCCCGTGGTGGTTGTGAGGAGCACTCGCATAATGTATCTGAAAATGGTTTGGAAAGTATATTAGAAGGATTTATTACTAAAATTATTCATTTCACAATTCAGTCTTATCCAGCTCCTGCTATTCACTGAATTAATTTGTAGTGTCATGTATTCTATGACACAACTTCTTATCAAGGAAAAATAAGAAATTCTGAAGTCTGTAATTGCCCACGAAAGTCAGCCCCAGATGGCGTTGCTGTTATCGTTATTTGTCAGCTGTGGTTGGGAAGATGTGTTAAGTGCTTCCACATGTGCTTTGACTCTGGGTGAAAAATAAACCCAGGCTGGCGATTCTCTAAAATCACTTTAGATGCATCGGGCAGAGTACTGAACAGAAGCTCCGAATGTAGCTGTTGTTATTTCAATGCTTTGCTTTCTAATTAACTTTATACGTCCTTTGCCTCTGCCGGGAACAGAGTGTTCATATGCTGTTAGAATTTTTTATTGTAAAATAAAATGACAAATGCTTTCATACCCCAAAACCTGCCTGCTGTTTTTCACTCTACCTCCTCCAGGTGTCTCCTTCACAGCCCAGCCTCACAATGGCACCTGCTGGGGGTTAGCTAAAAAGCAGTGGCAGGCCTGGTAGACCCAGTGTGCTCTCGGAAGCCACACCCACTTGGACATGAGCTAATGAGCAAAAAAATGAATGCTCATTTTGAGCGGCTCCCAGACCTGAGGAAGCAGTTGGGGCTCCAAGCCAGCCAGTATCTGTTCATGAAGAAGTCCCAAGGTCACAGGCTCCTGAGGAGTCTAGGGATAGCAAGGTCCCAGGAGACCAGCTTCCAAAGACCACCTACTGATCCCACACACAGCAGTCATGAGACCTGCCTTGTGTTCCGTTCAGTCCTATTCAGAGACCATGGGTTATTGCCTACTCTGCCCTCTACCTTTTGTTGATTGGCTGAGAGAGCCTCAATCCAGGAGCCATAGACTCAGGGGTGAACCAGCCCTGAAATGTGGCTCACTATATGGACAAGGCCAGCCAGATTCTCCCTCTAGAAAATGCCAAGAGACAGTCTATTAGCAGCTCATGTTCAAACTGATCAAGACTCAGAGAAGCCATGATGGGCTAATTCAAAGCAAAGATCTGAGCAGAAGTTTGGGTGAGAAGTAAGGCTTGTGACCAAAGAGATTTGGAATAGAGGCAAGAAGCCTGTTTCTTGGAACAAAACAGACAAGCAAAGCAAGGCTGTGTGTTTCCAAGGCATCCCCAGCCCTACTGGAAAGTCACAAACCTGGGGCTTTCATGGAGCCCTTGAGCAGCCTCTCCATGACTGGACCGAACTTGCTGAAATTCTCTGCAACTACTTAGAAAGTACTCAGAGCAATTTTTTACTCTTTCTGCTACTCTGTCAAGAGGACTCAGATGTGCCCATATGACACTCCCACAGCCACTGCCACATAGCACTGATGAGGAATAAATATAAAGACCCCACAAAATGCTTTTAATGATGTGCCCATGGGGTGGGAGCTACCACAGAGACCAGCAAAGTTGGTACAGAAACTGAGGGGCTCCCTACCACTCCATTTTTTTGTTATTTCCTCCTGGATGCTGGTGGCTCTGGACTCATAGGACAAATGAGAAGATGAAGTAAAAGGAAGTGGTGGTACCTACTTCTGCCCTAGGAATGGGGTGTAGACCAAGACCAGAGAGCTGGAGAAGGCATGTGCAAGCCCAGCTTCTCCCTGAAGAACTAGGACAGAAAACTTACTCCAAAGTACAGTGTAAAATACCCAGACAAAATCAACTTAGGGGCGAAAGGATTTATTTTTGCTTTCAGTTCCAGAGGGGACACAGTCCATCATGGTAGGGAAGACATGACAGCAGGAGCATGAGGCCAGCCCATCCCATTATGTTAGCAGTCCGGAAGCTGAACAAGAAGTAGGGGCAGTCTATAAAACCTCAAAGCCCACCCCAGTGATATACTTCCTCCAGCAAGGCTCCATCCCCTAAACATTCCATAACCTTCCCATGCAGCACCACCTCAAACATATGAGCTATAGGGAACATTTCACATTCAAACCAAAACAGATGGTTTATATGTTCCTTTGAGCAAATGTTCATCATCAGCTCATGAGTTCTGTTGGCCACTGGGAACTGGAAGGATTGCACCTAGAAAGCATCGTGGGGCCAAGAGTAAAAGCACTGAGGGGGCAATCATCTGCAAAATGTACACAGATGGCTAGTAAGTGCTAGAGACTAGGTGTTTGTCCCCATGCCCCATGTTCATGCTAATGCCTGATCCCTAATATGAGGGCATTTGGGTTGAGCCTTTGGAAGATGTATCCAGAGGCCTCTAAGATGAAGAGAGTCCACAGAGACATCCTTTGGCTCTTCCACTATCAATCAGGAAGCAGGCCTTCACCACACACCAAATCTGCTGGTGCTTTCATCTTGACCTTCTCAGATGAGAACTGTGAGAAATAAATTCCTGTTATTTATAAGCTTCCCAGCTTGAGATTTGTGGTTACAGAAGCCTGCACAGACCAAAAGAGCAGCAAGCAATGCTCTGAGTCTCTCCATGACTACTTGGAGGAAAGATTAAGCTCAATACCAGTTTGTACTGTTGGACAATTTGCTTTGTCAACATTTCAGTGTTACTGTTTACATAAGCACATGAATCTGAATTTGGACAGAAGCCATATGATTCACAGAACTGAAATGAAGTTTGGTTAACATAACAATTTTACCACCAACCTGTCCTCTAAGCCTCTGGACTCCGAAGGGCCTTCACTGAAAATATAAAAGACCTTGTTTTTCTCCCTTTGCTGACTCCATAACCCAGCCCTCCATCCCTGGGGAGTGAGGCCTTTAGGAGACCCACAGGGCCTGTGGAAGCCATGCCCCTTACAGCTGTATGGTTGTTATGGCAACACTCAGACACCTTCCCAAGGAACATTCAGAAACAGCTGAATCTGAAACCCAGGATCTACCAAGTAGCTGAATGCTCAGCTGGATTTCATAGGCTTTATCCCACTCTGTGGAGATTTGGGGAGATGAAGCCAGAAGCTGGTTGCAAGCTTTGGGAGAAGTTCATTTTCAACGTCAAGTTTACAGTACCAAGAGAAAGAGCTTGGGTAGTCTTCAACACTAGTGTTAAGTCTTCACTCTGCCAGATTGCTGGAGTTGCCTTCTATATTAATGTCCAGGGACCGTGGGAACTAAAAGTTTGCTTCTCTTTAAGGTTTTGTTCTAATACTTGTAGGTTCTAAGCTGCCCTTCTTTGTGACTCTTAGAATGGGTTTTGGTAAAACAGTACCAATGACTAAGAGCAGAAACTAAACACTATAACTAAACAGGCATTAGCCCAGGAGAAGGGGTGCCAGGCTGTCTTTCTGCCAGGGACACGTATATCTGGCAATGTCTTTACTCCACTGATCATTATTTCACTTAACTGGAACTTTCCAGGAAGCACTGCTCAAACCTTCCATGCAGTCATCCCTCTAGTCCTTCCTTGTTTGAGCAAGCATTTCCTCAGTCCCTGCTTTGTGTCAGACTTTGATGCCCAGGCAACAGAGATTCAACAATAAGGTCACAGGTTCTGACCCTCCCAGAACTCATAGTGAAAGATTAGTCCTGGAGACACAAAGCCCAACATAACAGAGGCTCACTACTTTTCTGCCTCATGAAAGCCAGCCAGATGAAAACCAAAACCCACTTCTTTACAAACATTTAAGTTTAGAAAAGGACATTTGCACCATTATAGCATTGTCTGCTTGCTGCTGCACAAGAATCCCTTCAAATTATCTTTAACCAATTAGTAAGAGGCCCGTGGGAGGAAGGGGGACAAATTGCCAACTGCCAAGAATAAATAAGCATTACAAACCCAAATTTCAGAGCTGTCACCACCCAGTGAAATCAGGCAAGGAATAAGCAGTTTGAGGGCTATCTTACACGGTCCACTTGAGGACCACGGGAATTATATACTTCATGAAAAAGCCACAGCATATCCAACACCATCATTTTGGTTTGGTCGTGGCTGTTTTGAGGAAACAAACAAAATTTTTTAATTTTATTTAATAAAGTGCGCTAAGTTTATTAGTAACTACAAAACTACTGTGCACAGAAATATTCAAACAATGGAAAATATAATTTAAAATTCCTATTTCCCAGTAAGGTAACAGCCCCAGATGGACACTGCCCCATATAAGGACTTACTTTGCATAAAAAATGTGTTATATATTGAGAGAGAGAGAGCATTCAGAGGACTTAAAAGAGGTATATTCTATATATATACATATACATATATATGAACCCATTAGTATGCTTTTTATTACCCTTTCTTGTCCTTTTTTTTTTTTTTTTTTTAGGTCTTTTTTTGAGACATTTTTTGCTTGTGTATGAGGCTGGCCTTGAACTCACAGAGATCTGCCTGCCTCTACCTCCCAAGTGCTGGGATTAAAGGCGTGCACCACCACGCCTGGCCTTCTCCTTTCTAAATGTTATACCCACATTTGTACTTGCTCATATATATACATGCATACATTGTAGGCTTGGATCCACATATGAGGGAGAAAATGCATTTTTTTCTTTCTGAGATTGGGTGACCTTGTTTAACATTACACATTCTAGGTCCATCCATTTTTCTGTGATTTTTTTTTATTTCAGTTTTTCTTGGGGGGGTGAGACAGGGTCTCCCTATAGCCCCAGCTGACCTGGAACTCACTATGTAGACCAGGTTGGCCTTGAACTTACAGAGATCCACCTGTGTCTGCCTCCTGAGTACTCGGATTAAAGGTGTGTGCCACCATGCCCAGCATATTTCAATTTTCTTTAGTGCTGAATAATATTCCATTTCATACATGACCAGATTTTCATTATCTATTCATCTGTTGATGGACAACTAGATTGGTTCCATTTCCTTCCCATGGGGAATAAGGCAGCAGTACACATGGGAGTACAAATATGAACATAGTCATTTTGAAGTACCCATAGCAATGATGTGTCAGCTGTAATTCATTGGTTATTGATGTGTGGGTTTTGGCTTTTATTCAGCCTCTGAAATCTAGTACTGTATAGAGTAAATCAAAACAAGCAAACAGGGTCGAGCTTTGCATTGATACTATTCTTTGCTGCATTAGTCTGTTTAGCTTAGTTGAAATTGCTTTTTCTTGGTAAATTTATATATGAAATAAAGCACTTACAGGCAATTTTCCTTCCAAGTATCAGTTTGTCTTTCCCATATTTCTCCATTCTCCACAGGAAAATATTTTAACAAAGAGAACAGGGCACATTCCCAGAATCACATGCCTGGTCAATGGGAACTAAGATTCTATATTTAAGAAAACTCCTTGGGACTGCAGGTATACCTGCTCAAGGGCAGTAGGTTAATTTTATTGTTGTTGTTATGACAAATCACTGACATAAACGACTTAGAGGAGGAAATATTTCTTTGGGCTTATGGTTTCAGGGGCTTTGGTCCATGATCAGCTTATTCTGTGACTGCTGTGGGCCTCAGGAGAGGCTGAAGGGGT